TTTTTGAGAAGAATCTAAGTTGACCTTTTTTTTAATGAATCCTGTTTTCTGGATTTGTTTTCGGGATTTCCTCTTGGAGTGTTTTCATTTGGGACCAACACAACTACCCCTGTGTCTCAGTGGTACACACACCATTCTCCACACCAAAGACCCGACTGTGACACGAATGATTTTTCCTGCTTGTTCAATTTATGCATTCAAAATGAGCTGAAACAACACAATTCTGAATGTTTAAATTTTACATTTTTGTATTGTTTTTACATTTAATCTACTTAAATTAATTCCATTAATGATTTAGAAACCATTTATTCATTTTTTGGGGGGCTTGGTCCTTTTATTATTCCGGGGGTGCCACTGCGGAATGAACTTCCTACTTATCCAGCATGTTTTACACAGCAGATGCCCTTCTAGCTGCAACCCATCACTGGGAACCACCCATACACATTCATTTACACATACACTATGGACAATTTTTTAGCTTACCCAATTTACCTATAACACAGGGGAAACCGGAACACCCGGAGAAAACCCACACAAACACAGGGAGAACATGCAAACTCCACACAGAAATGCCCACTGACCCAGTCGAGGCTCGAACCAAAGACCTTCTTGCTGTAAGTGACAGCGCTACCCACTGCACCACTGCAATGCCCATTTGAGAAACCAGAGCAGTTAGAATCATTTACCCTGTTATTAGTAAATGTGGACTGCAATTTTTGCTTACAGAATATTTAAAATCTTTCACCTTAGGTAAAAAAGTGAGTAATTTTAGCATAATTTATGTCAGGGCAAAAGACAAACCACGTGAATCTCCACTGACTTTCAGTGATGTTCAGATCATTTCTACATTTTAAACTGTTGACTTTTTTAGGTGCTTGCTCTCAAAGATGGAAAAGACAACGGGAGCTTTGTGTGTCATTATAGCAACATATTATGTACTGTTTGACAGCGTAGTCAAGCCAAAGGCTAATGATACACTGGTCATAAACACACTCATTTGAGGCTGTAATAATATGATACTGCCTAAATGGATTTGCCAAATGTTCCAGTGCATTTTATCTGCACTCTCAAAAACATTTTTTTTAATTCTGTTAACAACATGGCAATGTAGTCATTCAGATATATCTGCCGATATACTGAACACAATAGCCAATCAGAAATGTTTAAGTGTTTAAATTACCCATAATTTCCTCACCAATCAAAGCACAGTTTTAGTTTTGCATGTTTGTAAACCTGCTCATTATAACAAACAAACTGTAGACTCAAGGTAAATAACAGATTCATTGTTCAGTGTAAATTGTCATTGATTACATTTGAACTCTCTGAGAATGTAATGAACTACGATGACTGACCTTTTTAGTGGAGAGCGCTCTTTGTTCACCAAGGCTATGATCCATTCAGAGTTTAAATAAATTCACTCTTGAAATTGGAATGACTGGCATAGAGATTACCATCGGTCCAAGACTGCCACTTGCCATTGAGGAGCATTCACTCCTTCAGTGAACTGAGTGAAAAATGGATTAGGTTCACCTGGTGTGAGTGAATGGAGGCGGGGACTAATTAGCATATTTATGAATCCATATATGGTATAGGGGAGATATATTCAAGCTATATTCATTCATTCATTTTCTTTTGAGCTTAGTCCCTTTATTAATCCGGTGTCGCCACAGAATAACTTCCAACTTATCCAGCATGGTTTTACGCAGCGGATGCCCTTCCAGCCACAACCCATCTCTGGGAAACATCCACACAAACTCATCCTATATTCACACTTAAAATATATTTATATGTAAAAAAAAAAACATTTACATTTAAACATGTTATTTTGATAATAAAATTAGTTTTGAGGGATACAATTAGTGACTACAATGTGACTTCAAGAAGACATTTTCTGTTTCTCATTAAAATTCATTAATTTCAAATGCATGTTAGCTTCTCATGTGAAACTTTCTAAACAAATGTCTTATGCACTGAGAATAGGATTTGCAAAAGTACAACTATTTACTATGAAATGGCAAGTACAAGGTTAATAATTTTCCTGTAAAATATACAGTAACTTACTGTAAATCAATTACAGTAAGAATAATGTATTTAAATTTACAGTACAGCACTCTAGTTTATCTTGCTACATATGTATTTACAGCATTGTATATCTTTACTGTAAAATATATAGTAACTTTCAAAATGCAAATTATACATTAACACACAACATAACTGTCCTAAAGTAAAATTCAGTTCATATAACAGTTAAATCCGATGTAATTTACAAAAATTGTTAACAGTGTAGCTATTTTATTTAGTGTGAACTTCATATATTACATTTTAATAGTCTATGTGCATATATATCACAAGATATTTTTGAAATGAACAAGTTTCCTGTTGTGCGAATGCCATATCAAACATTATTTAAGAAGTCCAAGTCAGCTTTTCTTTTTATATGCATACACATGATTATACCATTACTGTAAACTTTATTGTTCCCTTTTGGGGCAATTTGTTCTGCAGCATAATAAATTTACAACATATATATATATATATATATATATATATATATATATATATATATATATATATATATATATATATATATATATATATATATATATATGTGGATGTATATATATATTAGGGCTGTCAAATGATTAAAAAAATAACATGATTAATCACACCTTTTTTTGTAATTAATCATGATTAATCACGAAATGCCATATTTATCACAGAAGTAAAAACACAGGCATGTAAGGGCCTTAAATTTCAAAACAATCCATGCCAATAACAAACAAAACTGCTTTCCATGTTGGATTCTGAGTGGACTACAATTAAACACACACATGCACACACACACACACACACACACACACACACACACACACAGACAAAGCGTGCAGTGCCGGTGAGCGAGAGGGATCCCTTCAGATTCAACAACAAGCACGATTGCGTTCATCTAATTTGCTTAAACTAAGCATTCTAAAGTAAGGAGCAAGTATTGAATTATGAAGTAAGCAAGGATTCTGATAAAGGAACATGAAGCAGACGCTTTACAAAAGGGAGGAAACACATCAAACTTAATGAAACATTTGAGGAATGCAGCTTAAGGGCAGAGAAATGTTTTGCGAATTCATCTGGCACTTTCATTCACATGGACACCAATACTCAGCTTTGATGATTAAGTTAATACTGATCAAGAGTCGACCATGTAAGCAGTGATTTTTGATTATCTTAAATGACCACGCGAGTCCCGAAATGCCGAAGTTGTTCTTTCCGTTCGCCATACGGTATCAAATTCCATTAAAACATCCTGAATGAAACTGAATGAGAGTGAACTGCTGAACTGCAGTTAAAGTCTAAATATTAAAAATGAAACACCCGAAATTGCATGAAACGCAGGATAGCCTGAAGATGCGACATTAATTGTTTCAGGGCCAGACCAAGCTGAACTGGTGCTCTAGGCTGGTGATTGAGGAGTGGAAGAGATTTTCAGTGGCAACCCGTGATGCTCTGGTCAACTCCATGCCCAAAAGAATTAAAACCATGCTGGAAAATGATGATGGCCACACAAAATATTGACCAAAAAGTTAAAATTGGTTGTTTGTGCGTTATTTCAAATTCCTACTTCCGGTTTGAAATTAATTTTGGTAACGCTTTCTTTTACAACCCGCAAAGTACCGCTTAAGTACAGTGAAATTACAGTGTACTTTTCTGTACGTACTGTGTAAGTACACTGTCAGAAAAAATGTGCAAAATTTGTACCTTTTGGGGTACAATGGCTTGTCACTGGGGCAGTACCCTCAAGGGTACACCTGTTGTACCCTTTCACATGGGTACATATTTGTACCCTAGCAGTATGTACCTTTAGGGGTCAAATATGTACCTCTGCTGACTAATTTGTACCTTACTTGGGCTATGGTACAATAATGTACCTTTAAAAAAGGTACAATTTCTCCTCCATAGGGATGAATTTTGTACCCTTTCATTTCAGATTTGTACTCCATACACAATAAATTTATTTATCACATTTATTAAACATATTAAATATCAACATTTTTACAGGATAAATGTTTAAACATTACATCATTTTGAAAGAATAAAAAGCAATATTTTTCCATGAGTACAAACTGCACGATAATTGTAATTTTATACCTGTAACATTTTATCACAAACACACATGGAAAGATTCAAAACAATTACACTGTCACCTTTTTAAAAGATGAAAGTTTTAAACTATCACAAAGTCATACCAGATGCATAAACTTAAAAAATAGCTGCTTAAACATTTTAAAACATTTTATGAAACAGCAAAAAAACTTAATATTATTTTTTAAACACCAGTACATCCCATTTCACTGAGCATTTTTACCAATGTAACAAAGTAATTTTTCTAAAACAACAGTAGACCTAATAAAATACATTTTTGTTAGTGCACTGCATTCTACATTTTCTAAAAGCATCAAGAATCTCAAAGCAATCTTTTTCCATACAGTACATTGAAACATGTCACTTAAAGTATACCCTTAATCATTTTAGATCTCAAAAACACTTTTGATCAAACAGTTTTACACATTTGATTTGAAATTTCTAAACATTCTTAAGAAACATTTTATCAGCAGAGTATGTTTCAAGAGCCTGAAAGTCCGTCTGTCTTGGTTTATAACACCCCATTCAAAGTCAAACTCTTACTGTATTTGCATGGAAATATGAATCATACAACAGCAGAATTAAAAACTTGCTACACAGAAACCAGTGCAGTATTGACATTTAAAATGTATTTCATTAGGAAAGAGTCATTTCTTCTCCATTAGCGGTCTCACATGCACATGAAAACAGTTCAATTTGAACACCTGAATGTGTCAATCTCATCAAGGATGTTGGGCGGAGAAAATTCTTAGCATTGTTTCATCTTGTGCTTCTCAGTTGATTTGGGCAATGTTATTGAAATGTCTATAGCTGCTAGTCTTAAAATACTGATGCCGACTCAAAACGCATGCAGCAAAGTAAATGCAGTAAATTTTGGATCTCCATCTTCACACCGTTGCTGATGTTCAAATTTAAATTGTTGTTCCATCTTGGGGAGTTGCTGATGTTCATCCTTTGCATTCTTTATGTAGCATGGATAAGCCAAGTTGAAAACACAGTAAACAGCGAAGGATGTAATAATGCCTCTAAAACGGACTTTCAGCCATCTGTAGAGTTGGGTATGGAGCATCATCATCATCCCACTGTGAAAAGAAAAAGTAAAGGACATCAATAAACAATGTAAAATCTGTCAGAACTGCATAACATCTATCAGAGTATTACAAAGTGTTTAACCAACAGTACCCAAACCTCTTCCAGTGTAATTACTGTAAGCAATCATTTTCCTCTTTAAGAATATGGGGGAGCAGAATTAGAGCAGCACGAAAGTCAGAATCTATTGCAAAATAAAATCATCCATCCATTTATTTTATTTTCGGCTTAGTCCCTTTATTAATCTGGGGTCGCCACAGCGGAATGAACCGCCAACATATCCAGCATGTGTTTTACACAGCGGATGCCCTTCTAGCTGCAACCCATCACTGGAAAACACCCATACACACTTATTCACACACTATGGCCAAATTTGCTTACCCAATTCATCTGTACCGCATGTCTTTGGACTTGTCGAGGAAACCGGAGCACCCGGAGAAAACCCACGCCAACATGGGGACAACATGCAACTCCACACAGAAATGCCGAGTTTTAAACCAGCAACCTTCTTGATGTGAGGCGATCGTGCTACCCACTGCGCCACTGTGACACCCTAAAATAAAATAAAGACAAATAATGAAGTACTCTTAAATAATTTAATAATATAAAGGACCTGTTTTTAAAATAAAGATAAAATTATTGGAATGTTTAGCAAATGCTGAATAAAAGATATTGATGTATTTTTATGAATTACATTTTTTTAAAGAAAAACATTAAGGAATGTTCTGTATATAAAGGGTTTGTATATAAGGCCCACGAGTTTGAACTTGCTAAATCCAGCTTGAAAAGGCACTTAATGATCACATCCAAGAAATAAGGGTTTGATCTAGCAAAATTATTATTACGTAAGTTTTATGTTAATAACTGTTAGATCATCCGCAAACTTCTATTCTCTTGTTTTTTTGTAGACTTGGGCCAGTGGAGATGCTTTTTTTCTTAATCAAGCTCAGGCACCTTTAGCACGAGCTGTCCTTGAAGCTCTGACTTGGTTGGAGATGGTTGATGAATGCATTCAGTCAGGTTCACCATGACTATAATAAACAAAAAGGAAATTAGTGATTCACTTTAACTAAAAACATTATCTAATATTCTTTGTTGCCATTTCCCTTTAGTTATCATTGTACAAATAGTTGTAAGCTTGAATGCACATATGTTCACCACAAAGCTTAAAAATTAAAAAAAAAATTAACAATAGTCATAACATTTATAATAGTCATTTGATCCTACACTTTGGCAATTACTGACATTATACTTTTCATTTAAACTGAGAACTGATTTAAAATGTGTGATCTCACTGACAAGGGTGTTTTTAATAAAGGGTCACACACCTCATTTCACTGGATACGCAGGACATTCGCATTACCCTCAAAAGATGATGCATCCTCACCAATTGCAGCAATCACCTATTGGATCAAATATCCATAATAAGTCCATAATAATGACAATCATAAAAATTCAAATATAACTTTAACACTTCACCTAACAGTTTCATAGAAAAAAAGGAGATTCAATTTAAGACTGCACAATGAATTCCTGGGGAAAAAGTATACACACACACACACACACATACATAATATATAAATATATATATATATATATATATATATATATATATATATATATATATTATCAACAAACAGATGAAATACAAAATACTAAATACATACGTTATTACACTCTACTGCTTCCTCGTCCACTTCATTTTCTGAAAGAAAAAAAATTATGATCGTTGTGAACTTGAGGTTAACAGCAAAAAAAAAAAGCTTTAAATTAGCAACTTAAAGGTTTGATAAATGACCCGCACCTCAATCTGACACGACAGATGATTATGACTCTCTTGAACATGCATTTATAACGTTATTTAACTGCTATGAATGGACGTGGGTCGAGATATGCATAAACTAACGTTAAAGTTATATTGTTTCAGACATGAAGGCATTCACTTCACTCCGTTCCGAAATAAACATGGACGTTAGCATGAATGTTAGCTCCCCAACACTAAGGAAATTCTGAGTTTATAAATAACGTAACTTATGCAATAAAGACTTAACCACATTATCCAAACAAAACTAACTTAAATGTGTTTCTCTGGACGTTTCACCGCTGTTTTGCCAGTGTCTCGAGCTCTGTCTCATGGCCAGGTTATGTAAAAAATCATATTTTAATTTCTGGTCAACCTTAAATTACAAAAGGGTCCCCTCACGCGGCAGGTAACTCGACGGTAACGTTAATCTTAACTACATACACAAGGCAAAGTAACGTCAAATATGAATTGAATAAGACCCAACGGATATTTACAATAAGTTATTTAACATTAAACTCACCTGCAAATGTCTGTGCTTCGTCTTCACGAGCGTATTCCAGCGTCTTTGCGTCCTTCAGGTCGATCCTCCGTCGACGCCGAGAAGAGCGTCAGAACAACAGTGCAACAGCTGGAGATTAACCGTCACACGTAATCAGCTGGCATTATGAATGCACGGCGCGGGCAAAAATCCTATTGGACAACACGAATTCAAATTTGCTGGCTGCTAATGCTAAGTGAAAGTCAATGGACAATGCCCCGCTGTGCAGACCCGCAAGTTAAAAAAAAATCATCTAATGTTTCACAAAATGTAGTTTTAAGAGTATTTCAGGCGAGAATGTAGTTGTTTTAAACTCGAATCGGCAGTTTATTTAAAAAGACAGCGCTTCTTTGACAATGTGCTTCAGTGAAAGCGGACTCTGTCAGCGGGAGCTTTATGATTCTCTCCCCCGCCGACAGCAGCTTTTACTTCGGCCAGTCAATCTCGGATCTGCCGCTGGATTCAATCTCCCTCTTGTAGTTAAAACACGATATTTATTACATTTTGTGTATATCTAACGGCCAGTTTTTGGTCTTTTAAATCTATTATTTGTTCTCAGCTGTATTATTTTGGCAGTATTATTCTGTTACGTTTTAAAATTGTTTTATTAATTAATTTATTAATGCTACAAGGTTGCACTTTGTCTTTGTTTACCAAGCTGGTTACCTTTAATTCCTATTGTATTCAACTACTTTATAATTGTATGTCCATTCTAGTAGTTTATTAAATCTGATAATCAAAGAAAGGTCTGTGTATAATTAGCCATTTCACTTTACATTTAGGGGGATTTATGTTAACATTTTCTTAAATCAAAAATATTAATTTATAATATTTATAAGGCCATGTTTTATATAATTAAATAATTTAATTTATGATGTACAGTTTTTTTGTGTGCATTTCTTCCAAATAACCAACAACTCATGACATAAATTAAGGACCATTTCATACACGTTGACTTGCTCCTTTTTCACACAAGTGATTGTACCTTTCTTTGGGCCTTAAATGGCCCAAACATGGACCCTTTGACAGTTGGGAACATATTTGTACCTTTTTTACCCTTAAATGGTACATATAAGTATCTTAGGGTGCTACTTTGAACCATTGAGGGTACAACTTCACCATTTGTACCCCAAGTGTTCACAAATGTACCCCAACCGTACCCTTTTTTCTGACAGTGTATAATGAACGTATGTGTAGGTATGAGGGAACAAACCATAATGCTTGGGTAAAAAGGGGGTAACAACCAGATGTTCATCACGAAAATGACCGCGTAAGTACAGTGAAATAACGGTGTACATTTCTGTACCTATAGTGTAAGTATAAATAACGTTTACGTAAGTATAAGGGAACAAACTGTAATGCTCGGGTAATAAGGGGATAACAACCAGATATTTAGCATAAAAGGTACCGCGTAAGTACAGTGAAATAAGGTTGTACTTTTCTTTAAATTGCAAAAGAACAAACCATAATGTTTGCGTAAAAGGGGAGTAACAATAAGATATCCATCACGCAAAGAAGTATATTAAGTTTACGATGTACATTTCTTCAAGTATTGTATACATATAAAGAATTATGCAAGGATGGTGACAACCTATTGCTATCTACAAATGTACTGTATATGCACCTGCGTGTGTACATTAGTACTCTTATTCAGTGCTTGGGTTTTATATGGGGTGTTTAATGAATAAAAGGTTTACAACCTGTGAAATTATGAACCCTTATTGTATACTGTATGTATTTTAAATCTGCAATTCAATATAAAATATATTTCCATACACTACTTACCTTATGTTTACTCGTCGATCTCACCAAAGCACTCAATGTCTCCATAACTCACTATCAACAAATAACTTTGCATGACATAGGCCTACCGTCAGGGTTCAATGCAGATTAAAACAGGCTCGCATCTTTACTGCTGTTGCACAGGGGGGCTAACTGTTGCATTTCAGTAAATGTATAGCTGATGCTTTATAGAAAAATCTAGTAATTTGGTCTTCATTCAATAAAAACTGCTGCTGTAGTTTACTCTGTTCTTAGTGTTCAAGTATACACTAGTATGTTAAAGTTCAGCTTCTTCCCTCTTTGTTCCCTGTAGTTAAAGGGTAAATACAGTATTTGTTCCCTCCTTGTTCCCTGTACTTACAGGGTAAATACCACATTTGAGGGTTGTAAATTAAAGTGAAGCTTTGTTCCTCCCTTGTTACCTGTACTTACAGGGTAAATACCACATTTGAGGGTTGTAAATTAAAGTGAAGCTTTGTTCCTCCCTTGTTACCTGTACTTACAGGGTAAATACCACATTTGAGGGTTGTAAATTAAAGTGAAGCTTTGTTCCTCTCTTGTTACCTCCTTGTTCCCTGTACTTACAGGGTAAATACCACATTTGAGGGTTGTAAATTAAAGTGAAGCTTTGTTCCTCCCTTGTTCCCTGTACTTACAGGGTAAATACCACATTTGAGGGTTGTAAATTAAAGTGAAGCTTTGTTCCTCTCTTGTTACCTCCTTGTTCCCTGTACTTACAGGGTAAATACCACATTTTAGGGTTGTAAATTAAAGTGAAGCTTTGTTCCTCTCTTGTTACCTGTAGTTAAAGGGTAAATACAACATTTGTTCCCCCCTTGTTCCCTTTAGTTTACAATGTAAAATCTTAAAGGCAGTGAAATAAATATACAAACACATAATATATTTCTAATTTACTTTGTAACCTTTATTTTAATAAATAAGCATTTTAAAAGACTTCATATTAATCAAACATTGTCTTGTCTATCATTGCCTATACTCATTCATTTTCTCTTCGGCTTTGTCCTTTTGTTAATCTGGGGTCGCCACAGTGGAATAAACCACCATCTTATCCAGCATATGTTTTACGCAGTGAATGCCCTTCCAGCTGCAACCCATCTCTGGGAAACATCCATACACACTCACTCACACGCATTCACTACGGACAATTTAGTCTACCCAATTCCCCTGTACCGCATGTCTTTGGACTGTGAGGGAAACCGGAGCACCCGGAGGAAACCCACGCGAACGCAGGGAGAACTCCATGCAGAAACCTTCTTGATGTGAGGAAACAGCACTACCTACTGTGCCACCGTGTTGCCACCCAGCTGCAACCCATCACTGGGAAACATCCATACATACTCATTCAGACACATACACTACGGACAATTTTACCTTACCCAATGTCACCACATATTTTTGGACCTGTGGGAGCACCCGGAGGAAATCCACGCTAACATGGGGAGAACATGCAAACTCCACACAGAAATGCCAACTGACCCAGCCGAGGCTCGAACCAGCGACCTTCTTGCTGTGAGGCGATTGTGCTACCCACTGCGCCTGCCTATACTCAAACAGCAAAATAACACATTATTTCCTTCCCACTTTTTTTCTGGCATCTCTTGCTTGGCTTCCTCTTCTGCTCTTCTCAGCTTCCACTGAGGACTCTGATGGTGAGTGGCTGATGAAATCCCATGGGTCTTGCTGCTCTGCATTTATATAAAATATATAAACAGACAGAAAGGCTTTTAGTAAGCTATAGACATGTTTATTTTCCTGTTTAATGTGTGTGTAGTGGTTGTCCAACAATTTCACACACTAAACATTTACAGATATATACAGATACAGATACAGACAGGCTATTGATATATCAAACTGGCATGCTACAGAAAATATCAATTTACATTTCCAAACATTAATTTTGTCATTTACTTTGCTGTAATTAACGTATATAAAGGGAGAAAATCGTCTGCACAGTCAGTATGACAACAGCCACAGAGATCTGACCTGCTCATCATCCAGTCTTTCTGGAATGACATGAAGAAACTAAATCCATAGGAACTTTGGCAACATTTCTAAAATGTGCAAAGTAAACGACAGTAAACATTGGTAAATATTCGCTGCTGGCCGTTTAGATTCGGCCATGAACTAACGTTAATGTTACGCTAAAAACAAATTAAACAAAATAAATATAATCTGGTTAATGCACAATTTCTAATCGTAACAATAGCCTTATTTACTGACAACGATTTACTCACATGTGTTACATGGTGACGGAGCAATTCCAAACGGAGCAATTCCAAACGTCCCAAAAGTCTGAGCAAAACCTCGTGGCGTGCTGCTGCAGTTTGATTCGGATCTTTAGAGGCTTCTTGATTCACAACTCAGTGAATCAGTAGGCGCGTACCTGAAGTGATACAATATCGCGAGATGGATTCAAATGCGGAGCTGTCTGTTGTTCTCGCGATGTTTTGATGTCACACTGATCGGTTTGTTGAAGACGAATCGATTCAACTCTCCGTCCTCCATTCCCAGAATTTCCTGTTCACGGCAGTACAAGGACGGCAGCGCGAGGTAAATAAAACAAGTATTTTTATGACGTTATGTACATAGAAGTGTTTGTTTAGGTTTTTGTTTATATCTGATGTTTGTACCTATTTTTAACAATTACACCCTTTTCACAACACTGCGATCATCAGGATCTAAAATCCTTGAGTTTTTTATATGATTTTTTTTATGAAATAACATTTATTTGTATCTACGTATGCATTATATAATATGATTACATGTGCGAGGTGTTTCAAACAGTGTCTATGGTCATGAGTAAATTAGAAGTTATTCTCTCTTCTTGCTGGCGTTATCAGTTTCACACTATATTTTTATTTTTCTAATTGTCTAGACAACACCATCGTAAAGTTTTCATTTTATTTGAGCAAAGAAGATTGTAAAAAAAATGTGTTGTACTTTCCCATTCACTGTGCTGAAATGTAAAAAGGGACCATAACAGTACATCAACCATATTATGTTATCTTTCACTTTATTTAGGACTAATGATGGGTTAAAACATGTACTTTAATCAAAAACTAACCTTAGGGGTAGTTAACCCAAACGTTACATTTACTTACCATTTAATGAGTGACACAGAATTTAAATATGTACACTGAACTGCAAATAATCTTTGCTTCAAAGTCTATACTGCCTGCACATATATTTAAGCCTTTTCCCCTTTGCGCTTTAATTATTATCACTATAAATGATCACAATCT